TAAAAACAATGATATTTTTTAATACAATATGCCTCGATTAGTCCAGATATAATATATGTGTGGATTGAAATTATGCTTATAAATGAAGGACCATGACAAGAAAACCTGATGATGAACAGCAGAGCATTTCACTGGAACTTTGTCAATATTGTAATTGCAAACCAACATGAAGACATGATGAGGAATAAAGTCCCACATAGAAGTGGGTGTTCTTAGCAATTGTTTTATCCAATTGATCTTAAAAGTATTATTTAAGGTAGAAAAGTCCAGACAATAAAGCCCACCGTACTCTTAAGTGTTCATTACAACAGGAAGTTGAAAACACCTTGTTGCTTATTTTCCTGTCAAGATATAAAGATAGAGCGGCATATGTTAGTCTATAGATACCCTCAGCCTTGGTTATTATGACTCTTCCTTTTAAAGATAAGTCACGCTGTAGCCATTGGTTTAGCTTCTGGGTGTCACACAATCTTTGACAGCCATGAGTTCGCATTTATTAATGTTAATACATAGACCAGATGCTTTGGAAAAGTATTCTATCACATTGATCGATATGGGAATCTGACTAGCGTCATTCAGAAAAAGTGTAGTATCATCAGCCAGCTGGTTTATAATAATTTATGTACCAGCTATGGAAATTCTATTATTAATAGAATTTGTAAGAAGTTGGGTGACTAATAAAAACATATACGGTGAGATGGGACAACCTTGCCTACTTCATCTCTTTAACTCAAATCTAGGTGAGGTGCCACTGCCATGTTTCAGTTTGATAGAGCTGTTACCATTCGTATAGAGTCTTAATACGGGCCATGGCATTAATTTTGGGAAATGTTTCATCAGTGATGATGTCATCCTCTCCACAGTGCCGAAGTGCAGGCGTCACCATATCCCAGGGTTGATAATGTGTCCCAATTACCTGATTGGCTTCTGTCCATATGGAGCAGACTGCAGTTTCAGCCCAGTAAGACGCCCCTTCGCCTCGTGTGATTATGTGCATTTTTAACAAGTTTACTTTATGACACAAAATTGTTAACTTACTATCTATTTTCAAAATCGTCAGCCCATTTTCAAAATCGTCAGCCCAAAATGACAGACCATAAGTAGAGTCTACACTGACAGGGATCATTAAATGGTCAAGCCACACACACTGTACACTAGTGTACTGTAGTAGATGTAACAAATGACTATCAAATCTATCTACACAAATCTATCAAAGTCTATTTCTTTATGATGTTTGCATTTGTTGCCCTCAGAAGAACAGAGCTGACTAGTTGCATGTATTCATGGCTTCCCCAAAAAATGTACCAACAAAAAAACATATAAAATAATTGATTTTTGGCCTCCTTTCATAAAAAAAAGTATAAAATAATAGCCAATCAAGTTCTGCCTGCAGAAGGCTAGTCCTCTCTCCAGTACCCAGCATGGAGAACATAAACTATCGGATCAGACACCAGCGTGGAACCTACTCCAGGCAACCCCACTCTGACATTTTGTATGTGTCTGTTTGGTGTGGGCATAAGGACCACTCTGCCAGAGCTTCCAGACTACAGGAATGGCTGCCTTAAACATCAATCTGTCATGATTCTCAACTCAGCCTTAAAATACTGTGACGTCACGAGAGGCTACACAGCTTTCAGCGGGGTTGCTCAAGTAGTGCAAGGAGACAAGGTTCAAACAAACCAAGGATTTTATTATAGGTCTTGGGAAATTAACGAAAATATAACAAAATTCTGTTCTCTTGTGGCTCTTTAAGGGTTAACAGTTCAGGGATGTCTCTTCCACATCCAAAATCATAATTCTCACTCGCTCAGATAACTTTTCCCCAGCCTTACTGTAGTCCACGTTGCAGCTAGTGGCCAACCCAGCAAAAAGTCCTTCCAAATGTCTCTCACGTATTTCCACAGGTGCATATATCCAAAGGTGAGTATTTCCCAAAGGTAAGTATCTCCAAATCCTTATATTCCTCATGGAAGTGGACGTGCAGCACTCTTGTCCTCCAGAGAGCCCAGGTTGGAGACTGTGTTTCTTCACCCCCCACACACTCCCTCAGTGTGTCTCTTCCCTTCCAAAACCTTCAGCTCATCAGCTCCTCATTTGTTTCAGCTGCGTGGGAAGATTGGCCATAGAGGGGTGGAGTTCCCGACCATACCAGCAGATGGAGCCATAGCTGTCTGGGTTTGCAGCCACCTCAGGGGGATGTAACGTCCCTCCAGGACACAGCCTCTCATGACATCACACATCCCCCTCCTCGGGACCGACGTCCTTGTCGGGGTAAAGGCAGCGAAGAAGGCATCACGCCGGGAGAGGGCGTCCGCATTGCCGTGGTGCTTGCCAGCCCATACTGGCCTGTGAGAGGGGGAAGCTCTTGGGTGCCTGGGACGTCTTCTTCCCTGGAGAACGGAGCACTTTCCTGGGCTGCGTTCTCTTCTCCCGTATCCGGACCAGTCTCTGTGTCGGTCTGGGCACCTGCCATCCCTATCAGAGCCTCTCCGTTTCCGAGGTACTCGGGTTATCCTCTCCTGAGACACTCTCCAGAGTGGGTAAAAGGCTGGGCAGTCTCGTCCAATTAGGACAGGGACGGGGAGGGAATCAACCACCCCCGCCGTCGTGTGTATGGTTCCCCGTGTGCTGGTCATTGTAAGTTCAGTAATGGGGTATTCTCTGGTGTCCCCATGGACACAGGAAACTGGGAGGACTTTCCCCGGGGTCAGACACGTTGGGCCCACCAAATCCTTACGCACCAGGGTGGCCCGGCTACCAGAATCCAGTAAGGCCTCCACATCATGGTGATTCACAGTTACCGGGCAGGTGGGGGGTCGATCTGGGCCGCCATCTACGACTCCCAAGAGCGAGGCAAAACGGTGTGTGGGTGCTGAGCTGGAGGACTCCGCAGTGGGCATAGGTTCATCGGCTGGTTTCCCACACTGCCAGGAGATATGTCCCATCTCCCCACACCGGTAACACTGTCGAGTTTCCCCCTCCTGGTGTACTCTTCTTGGACCCGCCTGGTTTCTGGCTCCCCCTGGAGCCGGGATAAGTCCTGACGTGGCTGGGTTCGAGACCTTGGGGTCCTTTGGACGGGTTCTTCCCATTTGTGGTGGGGGCGCACTCCTGGGGTCTTTTCGGGAAGCATTCAGCATCTCCGCTGTGGCCTGGTACTTTTCCACAGCTTCCACGGTCAGATCAGCCGTGGTCAAGGCCTGTTGACTGATGAACCGTTTTGCCTCATAAGGCAGGGCGCGTAGGTAACGATCCACCACAACGGCCTCCACCACCGCCGCTGCTGTATTCCTCTGCGGATCCAGCCATTTCCTTGCGATTCGGACAAGTTCATGCATCTGCGCCCGAGGAGGTTGGTCTGGTTGGAAGGTCCAGCTGTGAAAGCGCTGGGCCATACCAAACTTTGTGAGTCCATATCTGCTGAGGATCTCAGACTTCAGGGCATCATAGTCAGTAACCTGGTCAGGGCCCAGGTCCCGGACAGCATTCAGCGATTCCCCGGTTAGGAAGGGGGCTAACAGACCAACCCACTGTTGCTTGGGCCAGGCTTCCCTAGTGGCCGTGGCCTCAAATGCATGCAGGTATGCCTCAATGTCATCGGTAGCTCCCATCTTAGATATACAGTCACTTGCCTTTATGGGGCGGGTATTTTGGACAACCATCTGTCTCTGCAACTGCAATTCCTCTGCCTTCAGAAGGTTGGCTTTCTTTTGCTCCTCCAAGAGAGCCACGGTTGCTTGCATCTGGGCTTGCTGGCCAGCAACAAGGGCTTTCAATATGTCCTCCATTTCAGTCGGCGGGGAGCCTACGGCCAACTTGGAAAACTGGGTGATCAAACCTTCGGTATCCTCCTCTGACATGCACTATTAACGCTTGAGCTTGCCCGTATTCTCCACCATCTGTGACGTCACGAGAGGCTACACAGCTTTCAGCGGGGTTGCTCAAGTAGTGCAAGGAGACAAGGTTCAAACAAACCAAGGATTTTATTATAGGTCTTGGGAAATTAACGAAAATATAACAAAATTCTGTTCTCTTGTGGCTCTTTAAGGGTTAACAGTTCAGGGATGTCTCTTCCACATCCAAAATCATAATTCTCACTCGCTCAGATAACTTTTCCCCAGCCTTACTGTAGTCCACGTTGCAGCTAGTGGCCAACCCAGCAAAAAGTCCTTCCAAATGTCTCTCACGTATTTCCACAGGTGCATATATCCAAAGGTGAGTATTTCCCAAAGGTAAGTATCTCCAAATCCTTATATTCCTCATGGAAGTGGACGTGCAGCACTCTTGTCCTCCAGAGAGCCCAGGTTGGAGACTGTGTTTCTTCACCCCCCACACACTCCCTCAGTGTGTCTCTTCCCTTCCAAAACCTTCAGCTCATCAGCTCCTCATTTGTTTCAGCTGCGTGGGAAGATTGGCCATAGAGGGGTGGAGTTCCCGACCATACCAGCAGATGGAGCCATAGCTGTCTGGGTTTGCAGCCACCTCAGGGGGATGTAACGTCCCTCCAGGACACAGCCTCTCATGACATCACAATACCAAGAGATTATGTTAGTTTCTGTTCATAACGTGTCACATTGTTATCTTGTATTGTCTAGAAGGATTGGCTAAAACAAAAACCATTGGGAAAAAAATCAAAGACCAGTTAGTCTCTCCTCCACTATGTGGCAGTCACATTCCTTGTAATATTTTCAGCTGTTTGATTGTTCTTTTCATTAAAGTATTGTTCAAGTTCATATTACAATGTTCTTATATACAGTAAGTTCTATGCTGTTCTCTTGTTTTAAAGGCGTGCGGCAGTCCCACTCCTTACGTATTTTATTGTTTATCAGACAGGACAGAGATAGACAAGGTAAGAGTGATTGCTGAAAGAGCAACAGGCTGGATTCTAACCAATGCTGGCAGCGCTATATATGTTCTAAAGGAAGCGGCTTAGATCTCTAGACCACAATTTGTTCTCATTTAAAAGATAACCGTGTGACCACCGCTGATCCTCTTTACAACTAAGAAGTGTAGTTGATATTCAGAAACAGTATGATGTTGATATTCTCTGGCTCCAGGCAACTTCGTCTGCTGCAGAACATTTTATCTGTCTCATGGAAAGCCCTATCCAAGGGGTTCACTGTAGAATCCATTGAATTTCTCAGATCCTTTAGATCTCCACCATGCAAGTGGGTTTTCCGTCTCTGGAATTGAGCTGTGTTCACTGTACTGCTTCAGCAGTTGAACTATGTTCGGTACTGCGGATGAAACTACCAGTGGAGATGCAATCGCTTGGAGATCTTTAAGTAGTTTAGTTAGGAAGTGATTAGCACTTTCACTGTCGTTGACATTCAATATGCGGTTTTTGAACCTTGGGTCCGGGGCTGTGGTAAGGACCAGTCGTTGGCTCTTCTTCAGATCACCAAAATGAAATGTGCATTGTTTGGCTAACTGTTTAGCTACCTCGTTTCCACATTTTTCTTTGTTGATTTTCTTCTGAAGTTTTATGACCAGAGGAATGCTGTTGGAGAGGAAGTAGTACTGCTGATTATTAGAGATGTCTTCACATCCCTGTGACATCTCCTCTGTCACATCTTTGAAAGGCTGAAGGGTTGCTACAGCACTGGAGGCTTTAGTTATGTCAGATCCATTAAGACAGAGGTCAAACTCTTGTCTTTGGCTAAGCACCATGTTGATAGCCATGTATTGCTCAGCAAGTCTCTTCAGCACGTGGAAGCAGGATAACCATCCATCACCAACAGACTGTATCAGGCCATGATGAGGCAACTGCTGATGGAGTTGAGCCTCTTTTAGCTTTTTCTCAGCTTCTTTGTTGCTGTGGAAGAACCTCACAATCTTCTGACACTTCCTCAGCAGAGCCTCTAGAACAGGATCATCCTTCAACACATCTTTGAACACCAGGTTTAAAGTGTGGGTAAAACAAGGAATGTGTGTCCATCCATTTCGAGAAATGTCTTCTCTCATGGTTCCCTCTATGTTTGTCACCATGGTGTGAATCTTTTCTTTAATTCTCCAATCGTTTGCAATTCTTAACAGTTGTTCCACTATGTCGACTGCTTTATGTTCACCCAGGACTTTAGTCGTTTCTAATACGTAGGAATTGAGGTTCCATTGTTCATGTAGGTTCATGTAGGTTCATGTAGGACTCTTCTGCTCTTGCAACCCACAGTTCAGCTGTTAATACAATATCATGAGCCAAGGCAAGGGATTGCTCTACCTTCTGCCTTGTCTCCTCATACATTCTGAGAAGGTCTTTGCGAATAGACAATGTCTCCTTTGGAATAATGGTGCCAGGATTTTTTATGGCATCCACAAATGCCTGGAAACCAGCATCTTCTACAATAGACAGTGGTTGCAAGTTGGAGACAATCAGGTTTGCCAGGTGCCTTTTGCGCGTGAATATTCCTTGAGTGCCAGCTGTGTCAAATAGGACATTATAAGTCAAGATCATCATAAATGTTTCACGTTATATAATTATCTCTAACATAATCAGAAACATTTATTATTGGTATTTTTCTAAACCAGTACTTCACAGTCACAGTTGAACACAGTTAATTTAAAACAAAGACTGAGATTATATTCAGCATATTATTGCATATTTGTCAACTTCCTTCTCTCTCTAATGTGTATGCACTGTGTTTGTTGTTCATGGAGTACACACTAAATTAAGCATTAAATACAAAGACTGGTTACCGTTTTGTCTGATGCTTTGCGGTCTAGTGTCCTGGTGAACAGACAGGGCTTTATGGTTTCCCCTGTTCCTGGTATAAGGCCTATAAGTAAAGCCCCTTCCTGCAATCAAGCGACAATTCAGTAGATAAAACCAGAATTAGTCAAATAGGACAAAGTAAGATCATCATATATCACGTTATGCAAATATATTCAACCTACAACATGAAATAATGTATATTTCTAAACTCATATAACAGTAGTCAGATTCCACCACCTTTGATTTGGCAAAAACACAGTTATTAGCAGTATTTAAAAAATATATGTAAAACACAATTTGAGGAAAAATGATGTTCATTGTTGTATTGATTTGATACTACATTGTAATATCACATCGAAATTCAATATATATTCTCGTTGTCCTTTCAGTCTAACAAATATATGAGACGTAAAAAAAAATACAAATAGTAGTACAAAGAGTAGTCACCATTTTGTCTGATCCTTCGCGGTCTAGTCTCCTGGTGAACAAACAGTGTTTCACGGTTTCTCCTGTTCCTGGTGTACTGGTATAAGGTCTACCATTAAAACCCCTCCCTGCAATCAAAGGACAAGACAGTAGATACAACCTGAACTTGGGAAAGGTGTGCATCCTACAATGCTACAATGTCACGTGCTGACCACACCACCCACATTTTGCGCGTGCAAGCATTGCAAAATACATTTACAGATACATGGTATTCAATCATTTCATCCAAACTACTCGCGCGTGTCAACAAGCTTCTGCATAGCAAGGCGCTAAAATATAACTTGGTTCTATTTTGATTTGATGCGCTGCTAGTCCGGCCTCTCCATCTCCTCATTGGTTTTTAGGAGCATATACCCACGTGGGGAATTGAAAGCTGAATTGAGGTACACACTCCAGTCTGTGGTGGTAATGCACCTTAAAGTTGGTTGCCAGCCGCCATATACAGTAAAGTCCACAGAAGAAGAAGTAGGAGAGATTATTAGAAACTAACTAGGTTTACCCTTTTTATCTTTAGATTAATTGTCAGAGTAGAGAACACATGATTTTGTGTGACTCAGAATGGGTCAAAATTGTGCATTTCATGTAATATAACAACCCAATGTTTATATCTCAGGACAAATTAGTTAGCAACAGAAAGCTAGCTAGCTAGCTAAATGTCCATGAATGTTTCACGTGTTTTGACCTGTCCCCAAATTAATAAAGTTAGTTCAGAGTTTGTTTTGATATTTCAACCTGCGTGTTCTGATCACGTCTGGTGTGGATGGACAAAATCAACATGCGATCGATGGCGCACGTGACGCACGCATGTGCTCGGTGTAGTCAGCATGTCAGTGTTAAAAATTTCAAAATAATTAATATTGTTTCATTTGTTTTCATTGAACATGTCAGGAATAAAAAGGTTGGTAAAGGTTGGAGGCTATTCTTTTATGGCATAATCTACAATGATCTGGAGATATTGAAGGTGATAGTGCTTACCAGAATGACTTGCTCTCTGAGACATATCTGCTGGAAATGTCTCACTTGTTGATTTCTCCTTCCTGACTTTGCCTCCTGTTGTAGCAGATAGGACGACATAGACAAAGATGTAACTTCCATCCCAGGTTTAAAACATTTCAATTCCTGTTTCAAAATTGTTTGCAAGAACATGACTGTTTTGCTTATTGTGTTCTTGTAAAGTGAATATCAGGAAATGCTGAGTAAAATTCAGTAACTTACTTGACAAGTGTCCTCTCCATATGTTCCTCCTCACTCCTGTCAGAACAATGTGTTTGTACTATTGGAGACAGGTGAGGTGTACCAATCCACTGGGTGTGGCTGTTGCAGTTTTCAGTGAAACGAAAGTCAAATGTCATCTTTGCCCTCCCTTAAAGTTTATTCCTATATTAGTCCTTAAAGGGATAGTTGGGATTTTGGCAATGAAGTCCCTTTAATTTATCACGGTCATTGTAGGATCATATCCTGTTTCACCTGAAACCTTGTCCATTTACCTGAAACTACTTTCTTGCAATAAAGGAAATGTTACACTTTTATTGTATTTTAGGTCTAAAATGCTTCTGAATGTTGTAATTTCCACCTGGATATTACAGACTAGATTTTCACTTACGAAAAATGTATTAACCCCTAAAAAAATGTCCATTAATTATAATCCACATAATAGTTCACATTTCCTGTTGCTTGCAGGACTATTTTCCCACTTTAGCAAACTGGCTCAAATAAGATCCCAAATCTGTACACTGAGTGGCGCAGTGGTCTAAGGCACTGCATCGCAGTGCTAACTGTGCCACTAGAGATCCTGGTTCGAATCCATGCTCTGTCGCAGCCGGCCGCGACCGGGAGACTCATGGGCGGCGCACAATTGGCCCAGGGTAGGGGAGGGAATGGCCGGCAGGGATGTAGCTCAGTTGATAGAGCATGGCGTTTGCAACGCCAGGGTTGTGGGTTCATTTCCCACGGGGGGCCAGTATAAAAAAATATGTATTCACTAACTGTAAGTCGCTATGGATAAGAGCGTCTGCTAAATGACTAAAATTTAAATGTAAATGTACACCCATGGGCAGTGCCTCACTCACTTCTCATTCTCACAGAGTACAAAGATTTTAGTTCAAAGTGCAAGGTAATAATTTATTTATTATATCAATGACAGTGGAGACATTCTTTGTTTTTAGTCAAATAAAAGCATTCACGTAAAACCACACCCTAGGTTAATATGCAAACGACTTCATTTTTGCATATTTAACAGAAAACAATCACACCTTACACCAAACTATACACATGCCCAATGGGAAACAACAAATGAAATAGAAAAACAATAACTAACAAGACAAACCAACCAACCAAACAAAAATATAAAATAAAATACATAGGGAGAGTTTTTATTAAATTTTTCTAATAAGTGATGATACTCCGTTATGTACCTTTAATGAATAACAGTAATCTATTTTTGGTGTCTGTGTTCCTTTTCTTCAGCCTTTTGGCTAACATGAGTTCATGAAAGTATTGTTTTGATAAATTAACTAAAGTTAAAGTTTCTACTGTTGAGGCTTTTTTTTTATCAATACCAGACCTGAGATGGATGCACACAGTATGGAAACTTAAGGCCAGCATTCAATCTGATCGCTGGTTGCAGACAATTTAGCTTTTAAAGACAATTTCTGAACATTGCCTTTGAAAGCCACATTGTCGACAACCCCTGATCAGATTGAATGCCAGCCTAACACAGTCAGTTTGATAATCTGTTGATGTTCCCTTGAACAAGGCACTTAACGCCAATTGCTCCTGTAAGTTGCTCTGAATAAGAGCATCTGCTAAATAACTAAAATGTCAATGTAATAACATCAGGTTCAGCTACTGTGACCTTTTCAGAAGTTCAAACAACATTTTCATTTAACTTGACATTTATGAACAGGTCTGTATCACATTCTCACACCATGTATGCCAATCGAGTTCATCAAGTGAAGGAAGAGGAGCACTGAGGACGTATGGCTGTTCTAAGCACAATTACGGCCTGTAAAGGTCTGCATCAGTATAAGAAAGAACCAAAAGATTATTACAATACTAGACAAAACCATCAGATGTTTTATCTCCCTATTCTACCACTCTCATTTTAGTTGTTACCAGTAGAGGGAGCTCATGGTTTGCTGTGGAGCATTCAACTTCAGTTCATGGTGGGAATCAGTCTCCTCCTTGGTTTAGTGAAATACTTGCAGTATTGTAGAGTTAGTGTGACACAGACAGCAACATGCTACTTCTAAGTACTTTGCACTGACTAGAGCAAGCATGCAGTCTTGAATGTGGATGTTCGACTTGCTTGAAAACCCACCAAGCAATTAAACTATGAAGTATGACCTGACCAATCCAGATCATACTGCATTACATGTCCTGTGAGAAGAACTGAAACACTGTGTTCTTTTGTTTGACTGTACTGTATATTGAGTCTCACTTTTAGGAGAGAAAAAACTATTTCCCTGATCACTCAAGGGACCAGACAACCAGATTTTTATTTTTTTCCCCCTGCTCATTCTGGACTTGTTATGTCTTTATGACACCTCTTTAAGGAATACCTGGGATAGGATAAAGTAATCCTTCTACCCCTGCTCATTCTGGGCTTGTTATGTCTAGAACTCCTACTCATTCTGGGCTTGTTATGTCTAGAACTCCTGCTCATTCTGGGCCTGTTATGTCTAGAACTCCTGCTCATTCTGGGCTTGTTATATCCAGAACTCCTGCTCATTCTGGGCTTGTAATGTCTAGAACTCCTTCTCATTCTGGGCATGTTATGTACAGATATCCTGCTCATTCTGGCTTGTTATTTACAGAACTCCTGCTCATTCCGGGCCTCTTCCATATTCTATGATTCTGCCAGCAGAGCCCATGGTTTGCTATAGTGTTGCATGCCTACACTGTAAAACTTCTTAGTTTGTAAAATACTGTAAAAACAAACAGTAAATAACCTTTTTAATTATTTCCAGTAAATTGTTGTAAATGGCAATGCACTCTGGGTGATTTTAGATGTAAACAGTAAATGGCCGCGTTTAAGCGGGTCACTTTTGTCAAGACGTTGACCATCGTTGGTAACTGCCTTTTAAAGTGTGTTGCATTGTGGGTATAAAAATTGTCCGACTTTGAGTGACCCACGTGAACGTGACCAAAGACATGACTGAAAGAGGAACCAACTTTGGCGCGATTCTAACACTACACGAATGAAGGCGATATTTGAGACCTCTCTCTAACCAATTAATTGTACACACGTTATGTTT